TTAAAACAACAGAGATGTCCCCGTAGTCGTAAGAGCGGTTTTCCACTACATACTGGGAGGCAATGAGCAAAGAGACCAAGTTTACGTCCTTGCCCTCCAGGATGTCTTTTTTAAGATTGTCCGGAACCATGTGGGCAGGGTTAATAACGTGTGCCGCTGTCTTGTTAGGTATAGGATTACCCGCTGTTGCTGTGGATATGACCGGGGCTGTTCCTGCGAGAGGCACAGGTGGCTCTATGGTGGAGCTGCGTGCTTCCAGCCTTTCCAGTCTGTCGTTGACCTTTCCCATAGAAGAGATTAGGGAGGCAACCATAGCATGGAGAGTTGGGTCTTGGGAGTTACTAGTGCCTTCCCCTGCGTCTGCCATAAGGGTGTTTGTTTTAAGCAGTTTGAACAGTTCTTCTTTTCTGGCCGTGGCCGGGAAAGGGATACTGCGTTTGCGTAATTCCGCCGTGATGCGAGGGATAGTCCACGATCTGATGGACGAGGGACTTCCTATGTCGTCCTTACGTGTCAGGGTAAGTGACCTAGCCGGGGTGCTAGGGACTGACATGTCGTCGCCATCGTCTGGGAGCAGGGACATACTGAAAGTAATAACAGGCATAGTTGGTGGCTCGTTGGAATAGCCGGTAGCTAGTTAGTGCCAGATGTCGAAAAACTTAAATCTAGGTCTCGTGGCAGGTGAGGCCCTACTAGTGCCAAGTGGCTAGAGAGGCTCTATCTATGAGTTGGCGCGAGGGGTATGGTAGCCTGCCCAGTGAAACGGGATGTTTGCCTCTCCAAGGGTAAGTACGGAGGAAAAAAGGGGGGGGGGTTTGGTAGTGACAGGTGTCGCCCTCTCTGTATAATTGCGAGGCGGCTAACTATGATTTGGCCCGAGGGGCGTAAAGTACCTCGAAGTGGAGGATGGGAGTTGGCCTCGCGGACCTCTATGATTAAGGGGCAGGGAATTAACTAACGTGGCGTTTGTAGAAAAAGAAGCGTGTAACCGACGTACCTGCAGAAAATTGAGCACTGGTTCTGTGTAAGAGAATTCAGGTGTCTCTTGAGTAGGGGGGGGTTAGCTTAGGTGAACCGTCCGAGGTATGCGGATTCCTGGGGGTATGAGAATTTAAGATAATGAAACTCTTATGTGGAACATATATAATTGGCATAGTAAGAGTTCTGGGGGGGGTTGCCGCGAATTACCATCCCCCCCCAATGTATATGATGTTGTTAAGATTTAACGTTACTAATACTTGCAGAACATTCTTAACATATGTTAACCAGCAACAAGTAAACATATATGCATGTATCACATTTATAACAAGCAAGTCATACACTATATTAAAAAAAAATAAAAAATTGTGTGAGGTTAATTTAACCAGCATCTTATTTAGCAGTATAAGTGTAAAACACAGATGTTTATGTATCACAGTACTTAAAGTAATTGCTATTAATTCGACATATAAATAACCATTGTAAACATAATGACCGAAGGGTCTATGCATAACGAGTGGTGATGGCTGGCTGAACTAAGGGTCAACCAGCAGCAAAGAATGACCCCCTTTAAGCCAGGTGCCCCCCCCCCTTCCCAAGTGTGTAGTCGGTGGGAAACAGGGTCCCCTAACGTTATAGGGGTCTGGTTGTGGCCTGTCCCTGTTCCAGCAGTGAGAGCCATACCACTTCCCCCTACCACCCCCCCCCCTCCCATTCCCTATGAATGAGATTCCTCCCCGGTGGCCAAAAAACAGAGACTCCTAGGTAGTAATGGAGTCTCTGTTCTGTGTGTGTGGGAGCTCATCTTACCGCCCGGACCAGCGGTAGGCGAGGAGGGTAGCAGAGACCTCCGTTCGGGAGCCGGTGGAGCCGCCGGAAGTTGGCGCGTGACGTCAGAGGAGGGCGCCGCATCTCGCCGGAAATGACGAATTGGACCCGGAAGTCGGGAGCGACGGAGGCCTGCGAGTCAAGGCTGTTCGTCTGCACCAACGAAGGTAAGTGAGGGAAGGGGGGAGTCCCTTTTAAGTAGGTCTATTGCCCCTCCCACAAATTCAGGCCCTGCCTTCCAACATATCGAAATACTCACATATATATATATATATATATATATATATATATATATATATATATATATATATATATAAAATTTTATTCTATGTATATCTCCTTAACGACCGTGGACGTACTGGGCACGTCCGATAAAAACGGTCGCTGAGGACTGCAGACGTACATAGTATGTCCGCGGCAAATAGGAGCCCTTGACTTACCTGGGCCAGCGACCCGTGGCGATCACGGTCGGGGGGGGGGACTGCCGGAGACGCCAGCAGTCCCCCTGCAGCAGCTCCGGCCACCCCAGCCTTCCAGGGCCATGTGATGACCATGATCACATCGCCGAAATAGGACTCTGGTAGCTGCCAGCAGGAGTACTGTCTGAGTTCATTTCAATTTATAACTCGCAGAAAAGGACTTTTTCCAAATATTCATTTGACATACTGCACTATTATATGTATATTTTTCTGTTTTTCTCTATATGTTATAAAGGAAACTAAAGGGTAAGTGCCTTTGCAGCACTTTTTTCACTGATAAACTCACTTTGTATATTTATACCTAGCGCTACACTCGTGAGAAACTGAGGATTTAAGTGGTAGAATATATCAGCTGAATCCAAAGCTTCTCTGTCTGTTTTTTTGTGATTTTCAATCTCAAGAACGCATACCTTACAGTCCCTATCGCCCACTACCATCGGGCTTTCCTTCAGTTCCTATGGCGAGGGGAAATTTGGCAGTTCTCATGCCTTCCCTTTGGCCTTTGCTCAGCACCATGCTGTTTCACAAAACTGATGAAACCGGTCATGGCATTACTCTGCTCTCAGTGGATTCGCTCCATTATATATCTGGACAACATCCTGATCATGGCCCAATACCCACATTTACTCTGTCTACTCACAAACAGGATGACTGCTTTGCTTCAAAACTTGTTATACTTGCTATAAATTTTCAGAAATCTGATCTGAAGCCTTCTCAGGTGGTTCAGTTTCTTGGATTTCAATATAGGCGATTCTACAACCACCTTCCACCAAAATCAAATCTATAAGGAAAGAAATTTGGAAGTTGCTATCAGCTCAATGGATTCGCCTGCGCAATCTAGCCCACATTACAGGTCTCCTTTCTGCCTCCATCCAGGCTATATACCTAGGACCTTTACATTACCGAGCCATGCAGCGTCTAAAAACATTTTACCTACACCGGTCCACGCCCTATGACCAATTGATTTCCCTAATGGAAGAAGTCCGTATAGAACTCCATTAGTGGCTTCACAACATGGAAGATTGGAATGGCAAAGCCATCTTCGGATCACAACCAGACTTCATCCTGGAGTCCAAAACCAGCCTCCTGGGATGAGGCGCTACTTGTTCAGAGATGTCCACCGGTGGACTATGGTCTCCTTTAGAAAAGGCTTTACACATCAATTGCCTCAAATTAATTGCAAGACCCTTCATGATCCGCAGTTTTGCAAAGGATTTTTTCAGTTTTTCCCTGGTATTGCGAATGGACAACCACTAGAGGCTTTAGAGGCTGGATTAACCCTATTTTAAACATAGCAGTTTCTCTGAAGTGGTCTGGGTGCCTAGAGTGGTCCTTTAATTTTCAGGCAGACCATCCCTCTGCGTTGCTCGTTGTGTTCAGCATTATTTTGATACCACGGCTACTGTGCGTTCTCCTTCAGGACCCCTTCTGGTTTCTTATGTCAGACCGCACAAGCCGCTATCCTCTACCATGATTGCACGTTGAATCAGATGGTTGCTCTCCTATGGGATTCATGGACCCCAGGCACTAGATGCACTTTCCTCTCTGCATGGCAGACATGGGCCAAGCAGGGATTGACCCTCCCTTTAGGGCTCACTCAGTAAGAGGAGCAGCCGCATCCTCTGCCTTTTGTGCAGGCAGTTCTCTATCTGACGTTCTATCCTCCGCTGATTGGTCCAGGGAATCCACCTTTTGTACCTTCTATTTCAAACTTATGCCACATGCTGCTTCTTCTATCATACAGGAGCGTTAAAACAGCAAATATGAAGCCTCCTGTCTTGCCATAAAATTAGGGATTATTCTAGCTTTGGTGAACAAATAATCTAAATTTTATTAACGACAGGAGGCGAATATTTTTCCTCCGTTAAGCTATCTCTTTCCCTCCTTTTCAAAGGTAAGTTTAAACAGTTTGTTGATTATATTTGACGTACATCCTTATATTGCATCATATGCCATAGGTATTTTTTGTTTATGCTCAGGAATTATAGCTCACGCATTCATAGTTTAACTAGGATAAATCGCTAATGTTAATCATTATTAACCGTAAACTTGCTTAAAACTCTTACCAAAGAGTCTAGCGTTCTACTGAATTTTTTTCCTAGTGTGAAGACTGGCTTCGGTCACTACAACAAGGAATTTCCAATTCACTAGTTATCTGTTTACATTATTGATCCCATTGAAGAACCTGCATCTTGCGCTACTGTTCTTTGTGTTTCATCGTTTACATGGTTGAGGATGTGCCAGTTTGACTACAGCAAGAGAGGAATTGGGAGGAGCTTAAGGAGATTACATGATATTGTTGTACACTCTGATTTTTTTAATTTTTTTACATCATTGTTAACTGTTTCTTTGCTGCTCTGAGGTTTCAGTAAAGAAAGATAAGCAAATATTCGCCTCCTGTCGTTAATAAAATTTACATTATTCATTCACTAAAGCTAGAATAATCCCTAATTTCATTCCCAAGTGCTACATCATCATAATGCTCCAAAAGTGCAGATTACTGGGCCCTTATACTTTATATCCTTGTACTGCCAGAGACACATCCGGGGGGGGGAGGGGGGCACTAGGACAAGCACACCTCTCCCCCTTGCCAAGATAGCAGTAGCTGATAGTGATGTCCCGAACTGTTCGCCTAACGGTTCGCCACGTTTCGCTGCGAACGGTTCGCCGTGGACTCATCATTGAGTAAACTTTGACCCTGTACCTCACAGTCAGCAGATACATTCCAGCCAATCAGCAGCAGACCCTCCCTCCCAGACCCTCCCACCTCCTGGACAGCTCACTAAGAATGCAGCTTCACAATGGATGCTGTCCAGGAGGTGGGAGGGTCTGGGAGGGAGGGTCTGCTGCTGACTGGCTGGAATGTGTTTGCTGACTGTGAGGTAAGTTAACTCATTGATGAGTCTGTGGCGAACCGTTCGGCGAACAGTTCGGGACATCACTAGTAGCTGAAGCTAGTATCCAGAAAAGATATTAAAATATTTGTATTTTCATCTCCTACCTCTCGCTATCACCGATACGTTCACAACGCAGCCAGTGCGCCTTGGCTACACTACGAATGATGCTATCTCTTTTTTGGCAAACCCCTCCTGAATTCGGATCCTGAATCTGCCCCTGTGTACTGCTTCAAAGTGTTGCATTGTCTTAAAACGTTGCACCTTAATTCAGCTATAGACAGTGCTGCTTCAAGAGCTGCAAACTAATAATGTTTCTTTAAAGTGCTTCATTCTTGAACTGCTTTAAAGGAACACTCCAAGTACCATAACCACTAAAGCACATGCTCTGGTGCATCCCCAATGTAACTAGTCAAATCTGTTTTACTTCTTACCATACCACCCTCTGCCTCCACTACTTCAATAATTAAGCTAGAGGTGAGGTAGAAAGTTAAATCATTCTTAACCGGTTTGACTACTTACAATGGGGGCATCAGACTACTGGCACCATAACCACTAGAGCACTCCATAGTAATTTTGGTGCTTGCAGTGTTCCTTTAAGAGCTGCACCCTTGTTTTAACCCCTTAAGGACCAAACTTCTGGAATAAAAGGGAATCATGACATGTCACACATGTCATGTGTCCTTAAGGGGTTAAAGTGCCACACCTCAATATTGCATGAAGGTATTGCAGTTATGTATGAGCACTCGGCAAGCAAAACTGTGATCTTATGCAGTTATCAGTTATGGCATCAGGAGAGTCATCCTGGGAGTTTTATTACAATCTGATAAATAAAAAACACAAAGAACAGAACAAATAAGCCCGTATTTACTATGGGAGAGTGTATAAATATGGACATAGCAACAACAGATTGAGGAGCAAGTTCTGCAAGCTGAAGATCATATGGTTCCAGAATCATTGGTACATCTTTCTGAAATGATTTGTGACTTATGGCATGACATAAGATCAGATATAATCATTTTAACTACAGAAGTCAAAAGAACATTAATGCGAGGAAAATGTTATGAAATATTTGATAAATGTGATTTTAGTGATTTATATGTGATTCTTGAAGAAGTAAGTATTTTAAGAAGCATATTAGCCGATCTAGAGGACAGATTAAAGGACCATACTTAAAGGAACATACTCGTTTTCCTGGCACTATAGTGCCGACCCCCTCCTGCCGGGCTCTGGGGAGAGGAAGGGGTTAAACCTACCTTTTTCTCCAGCGCCGGGTGGGGAGCTCTCCTCCTCCTCTCCTCTCTCTTCACCTTCTCTTCGGCTGAATGCGCATGCGCAGCAGGAGCCGCGCGCGCATTCAGCCAGTCCATAGGAAAGCATTCACAATGCTTTCCCATGGACGCTGGCGTCTTCTCACTGTGAAAATCACAGTGAGAAGCATGCAAGCGCCTCTAGCGGCTGTCAAGAGACAACCACTGGAGGCTGGATTAACCCTCAGTGTAAACATAGCAGTTTCAGAGAAAAAAAAGTTTTATAAAAAAAAAAAAAAAGGGTTAACCCTAGCTGGACCTGGCACCCAGACCACTTCCTTAAGCTGAAGTGGTCTGGGTGCCTATTGTGGTCCTTTAAGAAGGAAAAACACTTAAACTTGAGGTATATCAGACTCCAATTTAAACTCTGTTACCCATTTCTTTTTGCATGAACCTCTCACTACCCATCTCACCGAAGAGAATTCCATGGTTGTAGATAGAGATCATTATTACATTTATTAAAAGGGACACTTTAGGCACCCAGACCACTTCAGGTCATTGAATGGTCTTGGTGCAGTGTCCCATCACCCTTATAAACTGCAATAATTACCTGCTAGAGTTAACTCATTATTATTCAATGCTTTCCTATGGGGATTCCGGTGATGCTGGAAGTCCTCATGCATAGCGTGAGTACGTCCAGTGTCATTTAGACAACCAAAAGTCGCCTACAAGCCCGGAAGTTCTTCTAGTGGCTGTCTGGTAGACAGCCATAACAGGGACTTCCAGGGTCGTAAGTGTCTTTTGGTCGCCTAAATGACACTGGATGTCCTCACGCTATGCATGAGGACTTCCAGCATCACCGGAATCCCCATAGGAAAGCATTGAATAATGCTTTCCTATAGGGAAATCCTAATGCAAGCACGGCCATAAAACGTCAGCTGGTGCAGTTGGAGTGAAGGTGGACCCAAGCCAGCGCCGAGGGACATCAGCTCTGGACCCAAGTAAGTGACAGAAGGGGTTATTGACTTGACTTGACTTGACAGAGGGGGAAGCTATAGTGCCAGGAAAATTAATTTATTTCCTGGCAATATTGTTTTCCTTTAAAGAAAATCCTTAACTTTATGATGTGTAGCCCTCTGATTATTCTTACATTAAGAGCTGGTGACTCATGACAGTCAGAGAAAACTTTTTTGCAAGTTCATAAAATAGGGAGAGAACTTTTCAGCAAAATGTTTACAACTTACGTACAAGAATCAAGCATTCAAGAAACACTATTGAAGTGGTCAGGATGAAGTGTCCCTGTCCCATTAATCCCGCAATGTTTACATTGCTACTCATACTAAGAGCCACTAGGGGCACTTGCGGGACAGACCAAGTAAAATTTGTCATGTGACATGGAAGAACCAAGAGGAAAGCAATGGGAAAGTTTGAATGCATTCACAGGAATGCAACACAAGTTAGGGTTGGAATGGACCATCACAAAGAGATGAGCCTCGGCACTGGAAACAGTTAAGTAAAACTTTATTTTATTTTTTTGGGGCTGCGGAGGCCTACCCACTTGTACGGACAGGAACATTACAGCGTCAGGAATACATATTTCTATTCCTAACACAATAGTGTTCCTTAAGCGTTCCAAGATCTCCATAATTGAAACTCAACAGTTGGGAGTGACGCTCTCAGCTCCTCTACAAAAATAAGGGACCAACAAGGCTTTAAACTTTTCTGTTTTCCAAATATGATCCCCCTCAGACTAAAGTGTAAAAAAATTTTTTTTAAAGGTTTATTTTAGGCTCATACGCCAACCATCATAATCACTACAACTCGCTGTCCTGGTTATGGTGAGAGGAGAACCCTTACACTCTTTCTTCCCTTTGCCCTCTTATCTGGTCTTGCTGATTGTTGAGGGTGTTTTGAAGTAGGTTTTATGACATCTGATTTCTGCAGAACTGACAAAGCCGGATGCCAATCTTGCGGCCTATTCATTGCTGTGCGCATCAACAGTCAAAGAATTAAGATTCTGTGCATCCAAACTCACACAGAATTTACATAAACCAGCATGTGCTCTTGTTCTGGGCTGGCTGGTGGCAACCCAATGATGCTGCTGGAGGTGGAGTTACACCACCGTCAGCAGAAGGGTTCATCTTGCTATGTGCGGCATTTCAAACACATACAGACTCCATTTACCATGACCACTTCAAACTACTGAAGTGGTCATAAAGCCTGGAGTAAACATTTAACGTAAGGGTTACTGGTGCTGAAGACCATGCATTGCAATAGGTTGAAGCTGTCTGATGTTTTGTCTTTTTATATATATTTATATATATTTATTGTGATCTGCTGTTACCATGAAATGATTGGTGCCATACTCATAACGTGTGACCAGGTATGCACAGATATCTTACTCGGCCTAACTAAAGTTGCAAAAGTATCTTATGCACTGCATTTACTAATCTGCATCTAATATGTGCCCTAATCAAAAGATGGAGGGTGTCCTACGCCCATTGCACACAAGAGTAGCCTATCTCTACTCTAAGCTCATTGTACATGCAGGGCCGTCTTTAATATTGATTGGACCCTAGGCAAGCATCTGCTTGGGCCCCCTGGGCATGCAATCACTCCCTCCACCCCAACCTAGAGGCGAAACTAATGTAGAGAGTGCCTTGGTGCAAAAAATAATAATTCAGGCCTGCCCTGTAGCACAAGAGTAAAGAAAAGATAGATCCCCATCTGTCATACAACTCCTGCGATGCTATGCCAGGTGGGGATCTACCATCCTTGCAGGGTTGTATTTTTGAGCAGTGTTTGTGCAATTGAATGTCAGCATGTTATTGTATAGAGTGTATGTGTGCATGTAGGGGTGTATTTGTATGTACTGTTACCACTGGAATGCAGTGATGTACTTGTGTGTAGTGTTTGCGTTTGAATGCAGTAATGTGTGATTGTCTGTAGTGTTGGCTTTTAAATGCAGGTGTACTTTTGTGTGTAGAGTTGGTGTTTGTATATGATTTTAGCGTTTTAATACAGGAATGTGTTTGTATGTAATGTTTGTATTTGCATGGAGGGGTTTTTTGGATGTAGTGTTGTGTACATTTGTGTGTAGTATTGGTGTTTCAGCAAACTGGTGTGTTTGTATGCAATGTTTGTGTTTGCAGGGCTCTGTTTGCATGTTGTGTGATTTCTATAACACATATACACATACACATTAACACGCAGATACACACATAGGCACACTGACACATGCTCACACCTTGACACATACTGGCACATACACACACACACTCAGATACACACCCTTTGACACACAGATACAAGCACTTTGATACACACACACACTGGCACATCCACACACAGAGGTACACACACACACTGACACAGGTATGTACACACACACTCAGATACACACATACATAAAGGTATAAATGCAGGGGTGTATATGTGTACAGTGCTAGAGATGGAGTGTATTTGTGTTGGCATTAAAATGCTGGGATGTATGCATTACCACACACTCAGATGCACACTTACACACACTGACACATTCATACATACATACACACACACACACACACACACAGGTACACATACACACTGACACACAAGTACACATACACAGGTATACATACACACAGAAACACTGACACACAGACAAACACAGCCAGATACAAACACTGACACAAACACAGCCAGATACACACACTGACACAAACACAGCCAGATACACACAAGGACATAAACACAGCCAGATACACACACACACATATATGTGTACATTTACATATTTTAATCTCTGCCTTCTAGCAGCTCTTGGACAGCAACTCCCAGCAACCTTGGCCATAATAATGTCTCAACTCTGTTCTTACATACCCTGGTCCAGAATTTGGCAAAAGTGACATTTGGAAATGGTATACAGCCTTTGATAACACTTGATGCAATAATATGTTAAAATAAATACTTTTAAAATTTATATTTAATAGGGAACTGTCAGGTTCTTCTAGGATTTTTAACATGTACTTATTCCCTGTGTGTTACATTACAAACACCAACACTTGAATAAAAGTGATATCAGAAATAAGCAAAACAAAAAAACAAAACATATTTAGCCACCCTCCTGTCTCCTTACCTTTTGGGTACAGAAAGGTGGCTTCCCTGGGGTCCAGTGGGAGCTTGTTGGCCCAGGCTGATGGGAGTCTGCCATCAGCTTTCTCAGTCCCTCTCCCCAACAATGCTTGCATCCTCCTCCGTGTGGTGTGTGCCTCCTCCCCAGCGGCACTGAGGAGGAAGTGATCTGACCTCACTTCCTCCCAGCATGCCACGGAGAAGAAAAGGGATCACAGGGCAGTGTGTGAGGGGCTAGCTGTGTGTTTGTATTCAGCCAACCCCCATATTACAAGGGCCCGGTCCAGAGCAGTATTAAAGGGCTGTGGCCCCTGATTACCTCAGGTGCTGCAGGGGGCCCATGGGGCAGCTGCCTTAGGGCCCCCAGGAGTAACTGGGCCTGGGGCAGCTGCCCCTTTTGCCCCTCCTTAAAGACGGCCCTGTGTACATGCACTTCCAGTGGCTCATTAGCCATAGGACTAGCTGTGATCACTTGTACCATTTGCTTTCCCAACAAATCTCTATGTAGTTAAGCCTACCAGAGAGATTTTATACACTTTCCAGTTTACAGAGGAAGGTTAGTTGCATAATTCCAGAAACACAAATTTGTATTTAGGCCCAGAGTCATTTTAGCTCCAGCCCCACAAAGGACCCAATCCTGTACTTTTTGAATGTGGATGTGTCATTTTCTCCTGTGTGTTTGTTCAGTCGTTTTTTAAGGTATATTGTTGCCCTACAGAGATTTAGTTTAGGTCACTGGTAAAACAATTTGTTCTAATAGATCATAGCTTTGTTTAACCGTACATAACAGTATTAGTTGCAGAGAAATTAGGCTTATCCCCCAGAAATGCTACAAGCACATATTATTAAACTCACCACACCGAAGAAATTTCTAGAGAAGTGTTAAAATTTCAGACCAATCTCCTTATTAAACAAAGATGCTAAATTCTACACAAAACAATCTTGTAAATCCACTGTAACCTTATTCTTTCATCCTTAGTGTATAATGATTACGCAGGTTTTGTGAACGTGAGCCAGTGGTCTAACCAATTGAGAAAGGTGTTGAATCTTTTGCATCACCTGCCTAATTCTGTGACTGGTGCTTTGCTTATTTCAATGAATATAGAAAAGCCCTTATTTATGTTTAATTGGTCATTCCTGGTATCAACCTTTTCTAAGCTCTTATTTCCTGCCAATTTTATTACAGTGATTATGGCATTACATTACAAGCCGTCTGCAGTGGTTTCCACAGACGATTTTACATAATCACCTTTTATTATTACTTTTGGTATCCTTCAGGGCCTGCCTCTGACCCCATTATTATATGTTTTGGCATTGGAAACACTGCAGAATCAACAGAATTCCACTGTGTATACATGGGAATTTGAGTATAAATAAGCCTTTTTGCTGACACTGTCTTATTGACGTTGTCCTCTGGAGTCTTTAGAAAAACCCCACAAAATGTTTGCACGATTATAGTGTAGTATCGTTTTAGAAACTATATAAAAGTAAAATTCAAGCAGTGCCTGTGAGTATTAAAGGACCACTATAGTGCCAGGAAAACATACTTGTTTTCCTGGCACTAGAGTGCCCTGAGGGTGCCCCCACCCTCAGCGTCCCCCTCCCGCCGGGCTCTGGGGAGTGGAAGGGGTTAAACCTACCTCTTTCTCCAGCGCCGGGCAGGGAGCTCTCCTCCTCCTCTCCGCCTCCTCTCCTCCTCATCGGCTGAATGCGCATGCGCAGCAGGAGCTGCGCGCGCATTCAGCCAGTCTCATTGTAAAGCATTTATAATGCTTTCCTATGGACGCTTGCGTCTTCTCACTGAGATTTTCACAGTGAGAAGCATGCAAACGCCTCTAGTGGCTGTCAATGAGACGGCCATTAGAGGCTTTAGAGGCTGGATTAACCCTATTATAAACATAGCGGTTTCTCTGAAACTGCTATGTTTATAAAAAAAAAGGGGTTAATCCTAGCTGGACCAGGCACCCAGACCACTTCATTAAGCTGAAGTGGTCTGGGTGCCTATAGTGGTCCTTTAAGACAAAGAAAAGTCTATGCTCAAAAATAAATTAGATTTTGATTGGAAGGAAAGCTACTAGCTTGGGTTGCTGATAAGTAAAAAATCCTTCAGACCTCTTTTATAAAAATTATCTGAAAACATAAAAAAAAAAAACAGATCTGTTCATGAAAAATAAGTTTCTGGTTGGGTATGTTGTAGTTGACCACAAATTTCTTTTTTATATATGAATACGTTAGTTAATCGAACTATATAGCAATATTGTCATTAATGGAGAGATACCAATAGCCTCTGACCAAGAACCTTTAAACAGACAATTTATACAGATTTCAGCACGCTGACCATCCCCAGACAACATCAGGAAATTAGTGCGTTTGTATATTAAGTAGAGTCTTTAAGTTAGAGGTTGCTAATTAACATGCCATTATTAAAATCTTGAAACTAGCAATTTCCATCTCCAAGCACCTAAAGTATAATAACAAGATAATTGGCTATTGTTTTGAGCACAAGACCAGAACAGTATTCCCTTTGGCAAAATACACAATGAACAGGTGCATGCCAAAAAAAAAAAAAGACAACTTGCACGTATTCCATAATGCCATCTTACCCTAAGGCATTTGTCTTACTTTCAGGCAACCATCAATAACATCTTTAGTAAAGATATAGTAAAGTCCAAACAAGATGAAGTCAAGTAAGGAGCAATTAGGCACTCACAGATAAAATATCTTCTTTTTCGTATGTCACTGCTTCCTAAACTACTATTGCTTGCTTCACACATTGCCTATAAATGTCTCCTGCTCCTTTTTAAAGGATATTCAAAAAGAGCTTACTGCATTTGTTTGGGCTCAGCATAGACCCACAAGGAACACTATAGTGCCAAGAATAAAATGATCATTGCAATGGCGGAACTAAGAGCCCTGGAGCCAGAAAATTTTTTTGGCCCCCTTTTAAAACAAGGGTGGCCAAAAGGTAGATCCCCTTCTGTTGTAGAAATCCCACGATGCTATACCAGTTGTTGATCTACCATTTACCCATCCTTGCTGGGTTGTATTTCTGAGCAGTGTTTGTGCGTTTGAGTGTAAGCATGTTTTTGTATGGAGTATGTTTGTTGATGTAGCAATATATTTGTATGTACTGCTACCATTGGAATGCAGTCGTGTAGCCCATGGAACAGCATAGTCGGTGGAATTGGCCCTGACAGAGCTAGGGGCAGGCATAGGAACCAAATGGTGGGGGTTTATAGGGATGGGCTTATGGGGGGGTATATATGACAGCCATCTTAGAGATCTTTTTAATCTGCCTACCCTTCCGTACAGTTGTTTGGGTTGGTGTCTTCTTTTGTCTTTTAGATGGATCCCTTGGAGGCCTTCCTTGCGAATGTGTGGGCGGTAGTGGAGCAGCGCTGCGTCTGATGGACCCAAGAGAGACTTAGGATGCCGGGAGTGTCGTCAGGACCCACATCTACACCACTGAGTCGCCGAACACGGAGAATCAGTCCACTGGAGCGCATAAATCTAAACACCATTCCAGCAAGAAGAAGGAGGAGAAGCCCAGGAGCTGAGGCAGGAGTTCCGGGAATGGAGACAAGCAGAGGAGCGTCCCAAGTTGTTGTAGGAGGAGGCTGGCCCACGCCGCTCATGGATTGTGGCTTGGGGCCCAGTCGGCATGGAACACGTGACCGGGGGCGGAAGGCGCCCTGCTGTGAGGCTGTGGGTAGGAGAGCAGTCAAATTTCAGTCGGCGGCAGCAGGCTTCCAAAGGACGGTGAGTGTAGCCAGGAGGTTGGAGGCGGCAAACTAACCTAATTGCATTCTACGAAGAAGTAAGTAGAAGTATAGATCAGGGTGTTGCAGTGGATGTGATCTACTTGGATTTTGCCGATGCATTTGATACAATTCCTCACAATAGGTTAATATTCAAACTAAGAGAAATTGGTCTACATGAATATTCTTGTTCTTGGGTAGAACATTGGCTTAAGGATAGAGTACAACGAGTTGTCATTAATGGTAAATTTTCAGGCTGGACAAAAGCGGTAAGTTGTGTCCCTCAGGTTTCTGTTTTGGGACCGCTTCTATTTAACATATTTATATATGATCTTGAAATATGCATTGAAAGCCATGTATCACTGTTTGCAGATGACACAAAACTTTGTAAAGTAATAAAATGTGAGCAGGATATTGCTTTGCTGCAGAGGGATTTGGGAAGATTGGGGGACTGGGCACTAAAATGGCAGATGAAATTTAACGTAGAGAAATGTGAGTTATGCACTTCGGGGTTAAGAATGCACAAGCAATTTACACCCTAAATGGTAGTGAACTAGGGATAACCACACACGAGAAGGATTTGGGAATTGTTATAGACAACTAATTATGCAGCAATATGCAATGTCAATCTGCAGTTGCTAAGGCCAGTAAAGTTTTGTCATATATAAATAGGGGCATAAATTCTCGGGATAAAAATATAATCTTGCCTCTTTATAAATCGCTGGTAAGACCAGACCTTGAATATGCTGTGCAATTTTGGGCACCTGTTCTTAAAAAAGATATCATGGCTAGTGATGTCCCGAATGGTTTGCTGAACGGTTCGCCGAACGGTTCTACGCGGACGGCGAACATAAACTTAAACTTTGACCCTGTACCTCACAGTCAGCAGACACATTCCAGCCAATCAGCAGAAGACCCTCCCTCCCAGACCCTCCCACCTCCTGGACAGCTCACTAAGAATGCAGCTTCACAATGAATGTAAAATGGATGCTGTCCAGGAGGTGGGGGAGGAAGGGTCTGCTGCTGATTGGCTGGAATGTGTCTGCTGACTGTGAGGTACAGGGTCAAAGTTTATGTTTACGTTCGGCGAACCGTTCGGGACATCACTAATCATGGCACTAGAAAAAGTGCAGAGGTGAGCTACAAAATTGATAAAAGGAATGGAGCATTTTAGTTACGAAGAAAGGTTAAAAAAAATTAAATCTGTTTAGTTTGGAAAAACAGCGCCTGAGAGGGCATATGATAACATTATGCAAATATATTCGGGGCCAGTACAAACCTTTGTCTGGAAATCTATTCATAAACAGGGCTATACATAGGACACAAAGTCACACATTTAGGCTGGAAGAAAGGAGATTTCATCTAAGGCAAAGAAAAGGTTTTTTACAGTAAGAGCAATAAGGATATGGAATTCTCTGCTGAAGAGGTGGTTTTGTCAGAGTCATTACAGATGTTTAAACTGCAATTGGATAAATACTTGCAAAAACATAACATACAGGGATATAATTTCTAATTATCCAAGGAGACATCTGACTGCTATTTTGTGGTCAATAAGAAATGTTTTCATAGTTTGTTGCAAAATTGGAAGAGCTTCAGACTAGGTTTGCCTTATTTTGGATCAACAGCAAAAACATATGTGAGGAAGGCTGAACTTGATGGACGCAAGTCTCTTTTCAGCTATGTAACTACAAGAGGGCAGCTCATCGGGTTAGTCTGATCCAGGTCCCCCAGACAGCACATTAGCTATGCAACTTATTAAGGAGCTCAGGGGCGAGCAGACCCGGTGCAGAGGAAAGGGAGGTTCCCTTACCACGGCCATAACCTCTGCTAGTGCCGGGGTCCCCTTAGTGAATACACGTACCCACAAAGCAGCGCAGATAGTTGAAGGAGATGTCAGCAACGCAGCTCAGAATCAGTGGTGGGGAGGGGATGGCTACAACTGTGATCCAGTCCGGGCCAGGGAGTTTCGGCAGCACCAGGCCGGCCAGCCAGTGGAGCAGAGTACCATAGAGGCTGGTCCTCAGCGGCAGGGCCACAGGGGATGCTCTCAGGCAATAAACTCCAGTTTACCCACGGGGCAGCCGGCTGGTACAAACATTTGAGGACAGCATGGCGGAGGGTCCCCTGTAGTGCAGCCCAGCGGGGTACGGTACGCAGGCGATAGGCATAGCGGCGAGAGGCAATCGCTCTCTTCAGCTAGATGTAGCCAGTGTTGCTATAGTGCATCAAGGTCAGCTAGTAGGAGTCAAAGCAAACAATTGCAGAATTATGGGGGCTGTGCAGGTCAGGGCAGCGCGCGCAGAATAGCAAAGGGTGGTGTGAGCAACCTAAAATGAGACGAGTAGGGGTTTCTGCGGACAGACAACCCAGGGATCTTGATCAGTCACATGCAGTGCTTGAAAGGTGCCAGGAAGTGGAACAAGGGATACCGCTGGACGCTCCGGACTCTCTCGGAGTTGACGGAAGGTCGGCGGCCACACGGTCAAATACGGTCAGTGGTCACCATGGTGACCAACCACTTACACCAAACTCAGAGTTTTTTTGGGATAGTTTAAGATCTTTATTACACACTTGAAGCAAAGGGGAAGTTCAGGGAGCTCAGTTTGGGAGACTATGGGTTCCTGCAGAGGGCAGTAGCAGGAGAGAGGCAGAAGGCAGGAGCAAAGAAGAGTCTGGGGATTAGACAGCAAAAAGGCGGGGATGGTTCTTGCCAACTTTACAGAAGGAGGGGAGGAGTGGAGCGACTTGTTCGGGTATATACCGGATGCCGCACGGCAGAATGTGCACGTGTCGTTCGCTAGTCCTTTGGGTTGTCATCTTAAGCAGGACACCAAAGACAAGGTTTGGTGTGAGGAATTTGTTGAAATGTTTCCCTGCTCTTGCTGAAGGAGTATATTGATTTGAAAGAGGAGGACCTTAAGGATGGTAAAAAGGAGGGGGAAGAAAAAGGCGCAGGTATTGTAAGATAACAAAGTCTTTCAGAAACTGACTGCAGGCCTTTTGTATCTTAGCGAGTGTGCTAGGTGAAAAATTCCCACGGCGTTGTTCCCAGTTCTTTTGCTACTTGGACGGCATGTGGGAGGCTTATCGTACATATGGCGGATTAGCATGGTGGAAATATGATGAGCAGTTTAGGCAACGCTTGTCGGCCAATCCAGGTATGCGGTGGGACCAGATGGACCTGCCGCTCTGGCTGAAATTGATGATGGCGCAAAATGCTGTGCCCTTTGTGGGAGGGGCCGCCACAGGCTCTTCAACAAGGGACAGTGCAAGTGGGGGGCCACCTGTAAGTTCAAATACGAGTGCTCCGGCTGTGTGTGTGTCAATGAATGAGTGTGTGTCAGATCAGTGAGTCTGTGTCTGTCAGTGACATCTGTGTGTTTGTCATTGAGTGTGTGACTGTCAGTGTGTATACACCAGCGAGTGTAGCGTGGTGGAGCGGAGAGCAGTACAGGAGCTTCTGTTTCCTGTACCCGGCCAGACTGACAGGAGTTGCTCACTGAGAGAGCACTACCTGTCAGTGCGGCCGGCTACAAGAGAGGTCGGAGGCACACCAGGAAGGGGAGTGTGACCACTAAGAGAGTATGGGGGTGCACAAAGGCACAGGGAAGGGATGGGAGAGAAACACCAAGGGACAGGGAAAAGAGGGGGGAGGGTAGAAGAACACTAAGGGACAGGGAAGGGAGGGGACCACTAATGGGAGGGGAGAGGGGCTGGTTAAGAGGCACATAGGTGAAGATGTAATTTTTTTGCGGGAGGGAATGCATCTTCGCCTATGTACCCAAAAATACTTGCACTGGCCCTGTCTACCCTACGTTGTTCCTTACTTTGGGGTTCATCCATGGTTACGAATTATGGTTAGGCCCATCTAAGTTTTCTAGGGAATATCTACATTAACAAAGTTTGTACATTCATCCCACCTTTACAAGAAACATATAATATTTTTAAAGTGACCCCACACTTTACTATATTTTTTTACAGACATACCCATTAAAAAGTCTGACTATTTGTGTGGTGAACCCCACTTCTTATCGGTACAGTGGTACAACCCACTTGTATAATTTAGTGGTCTACCCCACTGAATATTGTGTGCCGCCCTTACATATCAACTACGTTGACTTTGGTGATCCCCATTTATAAATTTTACCAAACACACTTGGGTGAACCCCATTTAATACCCTGTCTTACATTTATTTGTCAGATCATTAATAAAGTTCCTAAAACCATGTCTGACAATACTGAGCCCACAATCTCTCAGGAACTTAAAGCTTGGCTGGTCTCGACAATTGCCGAATCTATCCCCAAGGCGTTGGCAGTCTTCCATGAAAAAACTTCTGGCGAAATCAATCCCATCACACATTTACCCTCTGACTCAGAGGACTCTCAGCCCTCAGATCAGGAAATCACACGTAAGCGCCCTTGGAAAGGGAGTAGTGTGTCTGTGGGCAAGGGCAAGGCTCCTGCCAAGTCCCAAAAATTAACTGTCACTCGCCCCGCCCAAACTATCTCTGACCCTTTGGAGGGTTCTACATCTCATAGGGGCGATGAGATTGAAGACTACTACCTTGGCTACTCTGATGAGGACCCCTTGGCGAAATCGTTAGGGGATACCCCATCGGAATTTGTCAAGGAGACATTTATTAAACAAAAGGACACTGATGCAAACACACCTATGCAGAAGGGACCTGACTAAGACATCCTCCTGGATGCTTCGGGTGTCCCCTTTTTCGACCCCAGGGTCATCAGGCATCCACGGTCAGCCGAATGGGCCACACCGGACCATATTTCCAGCTTCTGCAAGATGTGGTTACGTAAGCCACTTGAAAAAGAAATCAGGGCAAAACTCAGAGCCGAGTGCCCTCGACCAACCATTCCAAACAAGGTGGCTGTCACGCCAGAGTTTGACCCACTATTTGTGACCTTCCTCACTAAGACGGGGAAAGATCCTTGCAAGGGCATTGAGCAGAGTCTTAAGAAAGCCCAGGATAAACTCCTGGACATCGCTGGCCCCATCATTCAAATTTTCATACTAGATGAGGAAGCCATAACTAGTGGGGAGTTTGACCCAAACACAGTCAGAGAATTGGCCCAGAGATCCTTATGCTTCCTGGGCAACGCAAATGTGGCTATATCCACTGAGAAACGTAGGGCGGCACTATACAAGCTGGATGCTAAATTAGTCGATCTGAGCTCCCGAGAACTGGGACCAGAGGCCAATGGATTGCTCTTTGGAGACTCGTTTATGAGGGATCTCTCCAAACATGTAGCGGTATTCACTACCCTAAATAAGGCCCAATCCTCCTTGCGCAGGGTTTTTTGTTCCCAGTCAGGACGTTTTTCTGAGAGAGCTGGACGTTCTAGAGGCCGAACAAACAGCAGAGTTGCCTTCACAGGCTACAGGCCTCGCCCTTCAGAGAATTATTGGCACTCAGGACAACCCCGACCCTACCACAGGCAGTTATTCACCAATAGAGGATCTAACCAGGGACGTGTGTCTGCCTCCTTACGCGGACGCACTGCTCCAGGTAATAAACCTTCCTTTTTTCAATGTACCTATAGTCGACTAACCCATTTTTTCCAACAGTGGGAATTGCTTTCACAGGACCTATGGGTCCTACACACAGTCCAAGGGTTCAAAATAGACTTCCTTTGCACTCCCTTCCAGGACATACCACCTACACCACTACGGATGTCTGCATCAGACAACCTGACACTACAAACAGAATTGCACAAACTAGTAAAAAAGGGGCGATAGAAAAATCCCCTTTCCCACATACCTTTCTCAGCAACATTTTCCTGGTCCACAAAAAACTGGAGACCTACGTCCAATTATCAATTTGAAAGTCCTGAATCACTATGTCAGGTATCGTCATTTCAAGATGGAGGGCATCCATCTGCTCAGGGACCTCCTTTGCGTGGGAGATTGATTCTCCAGATTCGATCTCAAAGATGCATATCTCACAGTCCCTGTTGCTCGCAACCATCAAGCTTTTCTTCAATTTCTCTGGCAAGAGGAAATTTGGCAGTTCACATGCCTCCCGTTCGATCTATGCTCTGCACCATGTTGTTTCACAAAACTGATGAAACCATTGATGGCGTTACTCTGATCACCGGGGATTCGGTCCATTATATATTTGGACGACATCCTGGTAATGGCTCAAGACTCAGACCTTTTATGCCAACACACGGACATGACGACGGCCTTGCTACAAAACCTAGGTTTTGTAATCAATTTTCAGAAATCGGCCCTGAAACCTTCTCAGAAGGTTCAGTTTCTCGGATTTCTGATAGATTCCGTACAGGCGATTTTGCAACTACCCTCCGCAAAAGTCAAAACTATAAAAAAAGACATTCGCAAATTATCAGCCCACCAGATTCGCCTACGCGATCTGGCCCATACCATAGGCCTACTGTCCGCCTCTAGCCAAGCCATTTACCCAGGACCTTTACATTACCGAGCCATGCAACGGCTCAAGACATACTACCTACACCGTTCCACCTCCTACGATCAGTACATCTATCTAACAGACGAAGTTCGTGTAGAACTTCACTGGTGGCTTCACAACATGGAAGCCTGGAATGGCAAAGCCATTTTCGGATCACAACCAGACTTAATTCTGGAATCCGATGCCAGTCTCCTGGGTTGGGACGCTACCTGCTCTGAATGGTCCACTGGGGGACTATGGTCCCCCTCCAAACAAGCACTGCACATCAATTGCCTAGAATTGATCGCAGGATGTTTTGCGATTTGCAGTTTTGCAAAAGATTGTTTCAATTGCTCACTAGTACTGCGCATTGGACAACGTTTCTGCAGTACGTTATGTGAATCGGTTAGGAGGTTCCCGTTCCAAGTTACTGTCCGACCTTACCAAAGAACTCTACCAATTCTGCCTTGAGCGGAATTTATCCATCAGAGTGGAATATCTTCCAGGCATGGACAACCTAGTCGCAGATTGGTTCTCCCGCCATTGGAGGGACGTAAGCGACTGGCAATTGGATCCCCCCGCGTGTTCTATCAAATTCACTGTCTTTGCGGGCCCCTCACACTGGACCTGTTCGCTTCTTGGCTAAACCGTCAGACGGAGGCATGCCTTTCTACACCCTTGGCCAGAGACAGGCGCATATATGCATTCCCACCTTTCTCCATGATCCAACGCACTCTTTACCGGGTCAAAGCCCTAGTAGTGATGATAGTCATTGTCACTCCTCTATGGAGATCCCAGACTTGGTTCCCAACCCTACTAGAACTATCTGCAAATTACCCAATTCTACTACCTTGACTCCCCGACATCCTCAGGAATCCAGCAGGGCTCTGTCAACCACTCGCCCTACAAGGTTGGCTCTAGCTTGTAGCTTGGACCGTTTCAGGGGATCCTGGAATGTCTCTGGACTTTCGGAGACAGCTCAGGCTCTCCTATGGGACTCCTGGGCCCCAGGCACTAGTCGAGTTTACCTCGCTGCATGGCAGACATGGGTCAGCTGGTGTTTGGAAAGGGATACCGATCCCTTTTCAGCACCTCTGACGACCATTCTAAATTTTCTATCTACCCTCTTTGATCAAGGCAAGTCCTATAGATCAATTAATGTTTTTAGATCAGCTATTTCTGCAGCCCACAACCCTATTGACAATGCATCAATAGGAAAACAATCTTCAGTTTGTAGACTTTTACGAGGGATCAGGCTAGCCAGACCCCCTCTTCCTAAATATTCCAGTTTCTGGGATGTCACTCTTTTAGAATCCTGGCCCTCTAATGAGAATTTGACGTTACGTCAACTCTTTGCCAAACTGGCCTTACTCCTATGTCTGGTATCCTACCGTAGGTTCTCCGACATTCGAGCATTCGATTTCCACGCTGTAGTTTTCTCGCCTGAATGCATTAAATTTCATATCACCAGGCGTACAAAGACTAATTCCTCCTCTGTATTCTACCCTTACTTTCCGAATAGACAGTAACTCTGTGTGGCGCTCTGCGTAAGGCACTATATAGATGCCACAACCACTCTGCGTTCCCCTACAGGACCCCTTCTCGTGTCCTAAGTCAAACCACACAAACCGGTGTCCGCTCCCACCGTCGCACGGTGGATCAGATGGATACTAGCCCAAGCAGGTGTTAACTCCTCTTTTGGAGCGCATTCAGTCAGAGGAGCAGCCTTTCGTGCGGGTAGCTCCCTCTCAGACATTTTGTCGTCTGCGGATTGGTCCAGGGAGTCTACCTTTCGTACATTCTATTTCAAACCTATGACACATGCTCAGTGGCGTACACATGACCCATGGGGCCCCGGTGCGAAAATTGATCCGTATTCTCAAGATAGCCGGGCCGCGTACCACATGTGGCGGTGGGCACCTGGTCTAGGGGTTACAGGGCTGGCACCCTTGCAAATCATGAGTGTACGCCAGTGCGCATGCAGATGCACACACACTTAAAGTGATTTCTAGGCACCTGGTGACCACTTCAGCTTAATGAAGTGGTCTGGGTGCCAGGTCCAGCTAGGGTTAACCCATTTTTTCAAAAACATAGCAGTTTCAGAGAAACTGCTGTGTTTATCAATGGGTTAAGCCTTCCCCTATTTCCTCTAGTGGCTGTCCCATTGACAGCCGCTAGAGGCGCTTGCGTGCTTCTCATTGTGATTTTCACAGTGAGAGCACGCCAGCGTCCATAGGAAAGCATTATGAATGCTTTCCTATGTGACAGGCTGAATGCGCGCGCAGCTCTTGCCGCGCGTGCGCATACAGCCGACGGGGAGGAGAAGAGGAGGATTGGAGGAGGAGAGCTCTCCGCCCAGCGCTGGAAAAAGGTAAGTTTTACCCCTTTCCAGAGCCGGGCGGGAGGGTTAATCCAGCCTCTAGTGGCTGTCTCACTGACAGCCGCTAGAGGAGCACACTGAACGTCCATAGGAAAGCATTGAGTAATGCTTTCCTATGGGCGGTTTGAATGCGTGCGCGGTCGCATTCGGAGCTGAGAGGCTAAGGGATCCTCAGCGCCAAGGGAGTCCGGCGCTGGAGAAAGGTAAGTGCTGAAGACACACACACACACACACACTTACAGACGCATACACACCAGCTAACAGACACACGCATTTACTGACAGAGACACAGTCAGCGACAGACTTTCATACATACACACTCACTTACAAAACATACACTCTCATTGACAAACACACACTCAGTAAGACACACACAGTAACACTCACTGACACTCACTAGCAGACACACACACTAACACACAAACACTCACTAGCAGACACACTAACACACACTCTATCACTCACACACACTAACACTCACTCTAACACTCACACTAACACTCACTCTAACA